ATTATCGCGATTGGACCAAATATAAATGCAAATCGCATTATTGTAGAATTATGCATGATAACATGAGTGGACTATAGCAACCAATGAACGCCAACTTGTGAACGCTCCGGAAACAGGGTACAGCATCGTTGAGCGAAACCCATAGGGGGTCGTACTTGGCCGCTGGGGAGGGGGGGTCGTAATCTCAAGGGTCACTCAGAGCCGGGCAATGCTTCGACATTTCAGTTGATAGTGGGAGTGGAGCTATGGAAGTTAAGATGTTAAAAAAATGAAAATTATTATGAGTGTATTCTTTACAGATTGAACTGCTACGTTTAACAGCCCTCTTTTCATGCAAAATCCCCAAAATGGGTTCGTACTTGGCCGCGGGGGACATGGGGAGTATCGCAAAAGTAGGCTCGCTAGGCATCAAACAGTACAAAAGTGTCATTGCTAAGTTTGATGGAAGGAACGGAAAGCTGCAGAAGACCCGGATGTAAATAGGACTACAAAATAATAAAAAATTTATTAGCAATATAGCAAGAATATCAAGAATAAATAAATAAATAAATAAATATCAGTTAATAGCATGAACTCGTAAGTACGTAGATGACTAAATAATACGTCTCAAACAGATTCGTGCGTATTGTCCTTTCCAAACCCTAAACAAACATCTGCTTGCATGGATAAAAGCACCTGAAATCAGAATTTACACCTTTCCACCTCTGCGTAGGAGCGTAATGCACGGCGCACACTCGGACCAAATCGATCAGTGATAGCCGAGCTCCTCTTTCACTCATTTGAAGGGAAATATGTGTTTTGGAGGCACACTGAAGTTTTCGAAGGTGTATTCTCACAATGGCACAGAAGGAGTCGATTTTTCGGGTGGGTCAGAGGGTAGCGCGTCTGTGACCCATCTAAAATATCTCCTGAACTAGGGTCTTCAGAAAAACTGTAAAGCTTATTGGAAAGAGAAAAGATGGAGGGGTTTCAGGACGATTTTAATCCTGATGAAATTGCGTTGAACGAAGCAATCCTCGCGTGAAGCATGGAAACCAGCTCGCGATTTACCCCTAGCCTATCCAAAACCCATCCGGAATATTTCACCAACGGGGGTTGTTCAGTTTGCAACAAGGTGGAATACACAACAGTAGAAATTTTTGCCGTTGCATGCTGCTCACCATTCCTCAAAAGCTCACCTAAAAAGATATAAGCTCCTGAAAAGACCCCAGAACGCTGACTTTCGAGTTACCGCGCTCCAATGACGTTTTTGCAGCGAAAGCGGTCGCAGCCTTGCGATCGATAATAGCCAAGTATAGAACGATTTACTGCCGCCTGGTTATCCTTTTTTTCATTTGGCTCCGCATTTTTTTGCATTTTTCATGTTTCGCTTTGTTGTGTCGTTCATGTTTTTATGATTTCCCCGTCACCATTCATTGAATGCACATCTGGGGCCTGACACGCTGACCTTGGGCTAATTTTTTCACCAGTTTAGCTCATTAATGATCACCATTAGTCGCTGTTTCGATTGTGTTCCTTCTTACAAGTTGCATGTCATACATGGTTATCGAACGAGGAGTTTTATTTTGAATCCTAAGACAAAATTGTAGGTAATGCGAGGCTGTTGTTCAGCCTCATATTGCATGAGGCTGAAACAGCCTCTTATTGCCTGGATTTTAGAGAAGAGTCCGGCTTTCGAAATTCCGATTCCATTTCAGGAAGCCATTTGTGGTGAACATGCATCTGGTTGTCAGTTAGAGCAGGAGGGGGGGTCGTATCTGAACCCTCTTCGAGGGGGGGTCGTACTCACACCGCCATTTCGCACATCCCCATGCTGTACCCTATTCGGATGGTCGCTGTTAGAGGCACATTCCTCGATAACAATTCATGAATTTTGGTCTGAATCTCTGGAAATAGCTGATGTACAAGTGAAGTAGGGAGTGGTTGAATCGTCAAAAACGCACCGAATAACGCCCCAGTTTTGGATGAGACGACCCAACAAGCGTGACGCTCGCGAGCGACAGACCAAAGACAGAGAAGGAAGACTTATTGGAAGACCACGCCCGGTCCCTCACCTGGAACGGACCTGACGCTGACTTGGGTAGTGACTAGATGTGGGAATGCTGGCATATCTCGTCCCCATACGGGCGAAGCACTTTCGGTAACGTTCAGACTTCGCGCGGCGACGCTACCATCACAGTGGCCCTCCATATACGGAAACATAGCTGTAGATGGGTACCCATCGACTATAGGGTAGCAAGAGGGTAGGCATTATTCACGCAGTCTTTGATTGGCGCGAGCCGCTGGTGTTTTGAGGGAGTAAAAGAAGAATAAGAGGGTACCAGGCTTTGCGATTAGGCATCGCCTACCCTCCTATTATCCTGTACTCTGTCAGAATCACAGTGGCACTGCTCACACAGTGGCGTGTGACATGAAGCGGGGTTGACAAGTGGCGTGCGTATCCCTCGCGCGGTCCTTGGTTCAAATCCCGGGTCAACCCCGCCCAGGCCGACCAAACCTTCTATCCTCCGGGACAGTAGTAGGTAAAGGTCGAAGAATAACCTTTGTCTTTTGCCCCTCAAAAACAGACCGTAGGTGAGCCGATAGACGCTCGTCTACGGTTGCGTTCCCGTCTATGCCTTCGAAGCGCCATTGCAATGATAGCGCATCGTCATCGTTCAAGTATCAGCGTTGCTTTCTGGGGTGGTGTTCCTTCTATAATGGCCACAGCGCCCTCGTAACTCACTCCCCAGACGCACAAGGGGACATTCTCTTATGTTCCTCTGTACAGGAAAGGGACTCCACCACAACTTTTTCTGCTGATACTTGTGTACAGTCCGTCTATTCATGCCGATCCGGCGTTGCCATTATTCAGAGCTGTGAAAAAGGTTCTTTAAACGTGACGCAATTTATTAGCCATGATGTTATGTGGATAAAACGGCGTCACTACGGCTATGATGTGCCCTTTTTTATTGATGTAACCAGCATCGTTTGTATGAAAAAGTGGCCCGGCAGCGTCGTTCCCATGATTTATCGACGTTTATCATTCAGCGAATACTACAGAACTGCTCCAGCCACAATATGATGTGGTATTTACCAGATTGTTAGGGAAGTAAACGACAGTTGAAGTTGGAGCTTCAAGTCCAAGCCTGAAATTCTTGAAAAGGGAACCGAGAAGTGAAATTATTAGAGTGAACACACTCTTGTCAATATAGAACAAGTTTAAATGTCTCTTTACCTCTTCAAAGTCTGAAAGTTTTCGGCGTCTTTTTTGTTAATAGGCTGCTTAACTTCTGGAAGTTGGCAGAGATGATGTAATGAACAAGGTACGTCGTACGCTGGAGAATCCAAAGCAGAGGTGGCCGTATTTGGCCTGAGAAAATTTTTTTGATAGTTCTCTTCTGTTTTAAGTCGCACTATCCAAAGCGTCGAAAGAGTCGCATTTGGGAAGGGAGGGGGGGTCATGATTGGTCGAGTGAGGATGGGGGGGGGCACTGCTTCACTTTGCAAATCGTGAAATATGCAGCTAAACAGCTACCGCAGAGGCTCATACTTTGCAGAAAGCTCCCGACAGGAGCTGATGGAAAGGAAGAAAAACTTGTGGTCGAAAAACGGGCGGCTCGGATTTCTGTAGTCCAGCTCGAACATTTTTCGACAGTTCTTGTTAACCCATTCCGTACCGCGCGCTGCACCATGTGCAGCACTATGGCCGCGTGCTGTCAGCATGTGCAGCTACGCCGCCATAAGCCGCGATTGGTCCATGAATCAAGTGGGTCGGTATATTTCTGAAGCCTTCTGGAAAAAGATATGAAAAGGGGAAATTGCAGGATCCAGCCAGAGCTAAGTATCAACATTTTTTAGGAAATTCTCCGGCTGCTATATCCTTTGCTTTTTTTCTTTGTAAACAGTAAAGCCAAAACTAAAGCTGTTACTGAACTGAAAGGTCGCAAAACAGAATAACTGAACAATTTGTGAACGTACTGCGCCCCTTTCCCAACTCCTCGTGATTTTATAGAGCTTTTTAGCAATTGCTGCATTTTTTCGACTCATCTTTTTGAACACGTAATAGGGTTCAATTTTACTTATCATACTGATGCACATAAAAGTGGTGTATAATGCGAAGTGTATACAATAATTTTATAGCATATGTATATGATTTAAATCACATTTGTTTATACTCGGAGTCGCGTGAATAAAATTGCGTCGGCCCTATAACGCCGCGGTACGCAATGGGTTAAAAAGTTTCCGAAGGACCCTATCCTTCTTCTAAATTGGAACTATTTCTAAAATGAAGGCTGATTATGAAATCAAAAAAGACGTAAATGAGAAGAACGGTTAATTATATTTACCTTGGAATCGACATCAGCGGCGCAAAGGGAGCTGAAAAAAATCACAAATAACATTTCGGTTCCGATAACTTCCTATCCCACCCCTTCACCCTCTCCAGCCGCACTCAATTTAATAAAACGGCGTGCGGAGTACGGTAATACAGCTTTCGACAACCTTTTTCAGCCAGTGTTTTTATAATTGCGGTTTTGCACGTTGCACTTTTTTCGCCTGAGATATTTACTTCATGTTCAGACTGGCTCTTGTTTCAGTTACTTTACCTTAACCTTTGACCGCCTTACTTTTTCTTTTTTGTGTTGATTACACTAATTGTCATTTTGTTTCAAGGAACGACTGATATTGCTGTTTCAAGACAGGCTCCTGAAGGATATATAGGTAAGTGTAACTCTCAGGTTAAAGACTTGCTTTGCGCTGTTCGGCTTGGAGTAGGCATTTTGCACTTTCGCTGGACCTTCCTCATGGTTCATGTTACCTAACAGGTCTCTCTTTGGGTGGACCTGAAGCTTCAGTGAAACTGCGACATTGTTCGAGTGGGCCACTTCGGTGACGGAAATTTACAGGTCTCTTAAAGGGGGCCTGTGTAAATTCAACTGAATACCGTTCGGCGCCTCCACCAAGCCGAAGTGTGCTATCTCTTGTGTTGCTTATCTTGTTTTCATTTATTCACTGACAAAATGGCAGTTGGTTTTGAGCCAACTCGCCCAACGTGCCCCAGACCAGGTGCATCAGCATTTTGCAGATTTGGATGCTCAGAACCTGCACACAGTAATGGTTTCTGGAAAGGTGGTGAAACTTGTGCGGCTGGAGCATCGCACATACTATATGCTTGGGCGAGAAATGGTCAGTTCATAACATTCTCGAAAGTAGCTGTTGAACTATTTGAAATCCGACTTGAATTCGGGGCGCTGCGTATCTTAGAAAGGCATTTAACATGTACGGAGGCGCGGTGACACAACATAGTTTCGCAAATTTTCCTCTCTGCGCTATTATGGTCTATTTGGCATTTTTATGCCTTGAATTAATCAGAACATGTTTTTAGACCCGGAATACAAATATCTTACACGGAAGTAAAAAAAACTGATGAAATTATTGATTATTGAGTAGTAATGACGGGGTGCTGCGGGGATCCTCGCGTAAAGGTGGTCCACAATGTGCTCGAGACATTCCCCACATTCTCTCAATTCAAGTAGACTGGTCCCCACCCTCAAAGATTATTCCCTTTTTTGTGGCTTCGCATTTAATAAAAAAGGCTTGTAGCCTTTGATATCGTAGTTCTGCTGCCTTTCTCTGTTTGTTTCGCATCGCCTCGTAAACTCAAAAGGTATGTTCTGTCACAAGCGATCTTTACAATGCTTTTCGTTCTCTTTTCTTTTTTCTGCAAGTGGTTGGTATTAGCGTTGGATAAGAAACGATACCAGGTCCTTAGGGGGTTCTGCATGATTTGTTTTGCTCTTTGCTTCCCTGGGGACTCATTTAGCGACTGATGACTGATTTAGCGACCAGGTTTGTCATTGGACGTTACTATCCACAATATGCAATCGCGACTTTGTGGGCCATAAGGAGTATCTGTGAAGGGCCCCCAACCAGGCGAAGACGGGTATGTCTTATGGCCCACATAAAGAGGTATTCATGCATTGGCTGCAGAAATAAGACAATTAGTGAGGATAACACCAAACTTATCGTCAACTTTCATAAATATTTCTATTTGTTTTCAAGTTGTTTATATTATGACTTCAGCTCCCTAGTCTTGATCGGCCAGGAAATGTCGTTTCCAGTGTTGGGCCATGATAGTTGACTGAGATTCGTTATCTTGTCTTGCAGGTTACGCAGGTCGTGCATGCTTTAGTTTTGATAACTTGTACAGTTATCCTTGACAGTCGCTTTCAGTGTGTATGAGTATATTTGTGTAATATTGTTTGTGAAAATGGAGAAAGATTGGTTTTGATTTTTATTCGTTAATGCAGATTATATCTTGATATTCCATTATGCTCAACCGTTTGCTGGTGATGTGAAGGATTTCTCTGGAGTTACACTGCATATGACTCAAAAGCAACCCCAAAACTTTGCCGCGGTACTGCTGTTTGTGTCAGGGGAGTCTAATCCCGCCTGGCAGAAATCAAGTTCAAAGTAAAGTTTTGTTTGATTTTCTTAATTTTTTTGGAGCAGAAGGTCTACATCTGTTCTTCTTGCAGATCAATATGAGTTGTGAATACGACCAGACAACAGAATTGCATCCATTCGCTTTCCGAACCCATACCCATGCTATGGGTCGGGTCGTGTCTGCATATTATAAGCACGAAGGCCAGTGGACCAAGATAGGAGCAAGAAATCCTCAGTGGCCTCAGGTAATGCTGGCTTTTTTAATCTTATTTTATTTGTTGCTCTTTCTTTTATATAATTAGACTTGTATTTTACAGCTTTTCGAAATGATTCCTACTAATCCGGTCATTAGAAAAGGAGATTTAATGGCAGCGACATGCCGATTCGACTCGCATGACAAAACCAAGCCGGTGGCCATGGGGTACGTTATGTCGGGTTTTCCTTTTACGGTATTTTTATTTTTTCTTCCTGCTGGAATCCACGATTATTACCTGATTGCATAATCTGGCGAATTGTTGAGTATCGATTCTGCCGTTCCACTAGTTAGGCCGTGTAAGAGAAAGTACATGACCGGAGAACACTCAGATTTCTCGACCACAGCACTTTTTTCTTTCGTTGTTGTTCTCCTTAAATGAAAGGAGGGGCTGCCGGCGATTGTTGCGTTGTTAGAATGTACTGCTTGAATGTGCGATGCAAGAATTCCGTGATCTGGCTTCGCGATGAGCCAGCGAAAAGTTCGTTGGCAGCAGGTTAGAAACAGAAGTGCATGTGCTCTGTGACTGACCTGCAAAGGAAAAAGGTGGGTAAATCGTCGAAAGCGCTTCAAATAATTCCCCACTTGTGTCATGGGAAAGACAAAGAATTGTGTGGATATTGGGCCAGGGACCAACGAAGCAGCAAGAGAGCATGCAAATGAGCAAGCCAGCAGATAAGACGACACTGTTAACATGAGCGGAGTCGCTTGAGCAACCTTGTGCCCTACCGCCGCTACCTTAAACTTTCTGACGTCTAACTTGTACAGGGTTGTTCGCTGCTGTCCCGAAAAGCTTAATAATAGGTGGTCGTGGGCCTTTGCCTTTAATGGTCCTGTCAGTGAAATCTCCAGTACTTTATAGATCCCATTAGAAGTTTAAGTTGTCCGAGCCGCGTGGGAAGATCTGAATAGGAGCGCGCGCTGCTATAGTGTCAGACTTGCTGGTGTTTACATTGTCGGAGCCTTCATCGCTTTCGTTGCCCTTTTCTGCGCGGAAGTTCGGACATTTATCGAATGAAGTTGATGAGAACGAAATGATTCTACAACAACGCGGAACGGTATCAGAATGAAAGGGGGGACAATCAGTGGCACCACTTGCTTCAGAAATCTTCTTCTTACAAATGCCAGCTCACAGGCAAATAGATGCCGGACAAAAGTTAGAAAAGTTATCGTACTTTTTGATATCAGGCCGGATTTTGGTCAAAAGGCAAAGGTCACGGAAAAAAGTTTTTAAAGCAGCCGTGATTCTTCTGCTTTTTCATACGATAGTGGAATTCGGCACGGAACCGCTTAACTCATAGACAAGACTTATTGAACAGCTTTGAATACTGTAAGTCATAGACTTCTCAAAATGGCAAAGTTGTTCTGTTCGAAACTGTTTGATGTAGTGCGAGAATTGTGGGTTGTGTTATAGTTTGACGAAAATCGCTGTTACAACTCACGTTTTTACAGAAGTATGGGAATAAATGAAATGTGCAACTTCTATATGATGTTCTACTGGGATGCTTCAAAGGAAAACCCGTTCCCCTGGGGTGCAGTGTGCGGTGGACAGGAGCGAATGGTAGGTTTTCATTTTGGGCAACCCTTGAATAAACGTTGTAGACATTTTTTTTCATTGAAGAATGAGATGAGAGCGGAATATCCCAAAGAAGGAACACAACTGCTACCTTCTCGTCCCGATCTTGAGCATCATGCAGCACAAAGCAAGGTTCGTTGCATTCATCTGCTTTTTTAATATTGTAGGCTCCCCCCCCACCTTGCTAGCCCATCCTCCTGGTCAAGAATCTGGCCAAATTCCGGCCGAGTTTTGCGCAGCTCCGCTTGATAGGGGCGTTTTCATAGTTCCCATCAATCATTGCCGATGGCGTTTGTAGAGACCTGTAAAATCATGTAAAACTGTGCAGTACTGTTAGCTTCTTTTACACTTTACAAGTGTCTACAGGTATCACCAGGTGTGTAATTTATCAAGAACTGGAAGGAGAAACTAACAAACGTACAAAATACCCCCTCCTCCTCCTCCCACTTCTGAGGAAACAATCTCCCCGAATTTCTCTTCCTAGGAGTAGGCCTCACTGCTTCTGTCAAGTTGAGTAAATAACTTTCCCTCTTGTACAAGAGTATGACAAAACTAGTCCGGCTTACGAGCGTCCGCAGCAAAACTGGTCTATTGCACCGGCGTCTGTGACGCGGTTTCGCACCAACGACGTGGTTTTCGTGACCTGGGGGGGGGGGTGGGGGTAAATGTCCCTCCGAGTACAAAATTGGGCAGAGTCATGCGTGGGGAAAAACGCGATCGAAATATGGCCCGAATTTTGAATAGTGAGAAGCACAAACAGAGCCGTTTTGTTTTCTCACTATATGTGTTTACGTAATCATTTGGTTGATCAGTATGTGGTCAAAAGCCTTTATTCGAAAATTTCAAGGCAGTCGATAGGAAATGGTAGCACGTTCTTCAGAATTCTGCTGTATCAGAATAATTTTTTTGAATGCATTGCATTCTGATAAATATCATGATGGACATGCAAATTCTTTTCAAAACAGAAGACATTCACAAAATTGCCCAATCTGTGCACGTCCTGCCTTTGAGGGAAGTCTCGTCGAATATGACCCCTTTCAAAATGTCCTACGGTACGACCTCTTCCCAAAAATGTCATCTGGCACGACAGCATCCCTCATCCTGCCTACCATCTTGTTAAAATCTCGATGTAGTGAGTGGAATGGCGAAGCTCTTCTCTTCATTGAATATTATATGACAACGTTTCGGGCATAAGCCCTTCTCCAGGCCACTCAATCTTGAATCAAACCGCACTTACAACGTTATAGCATTAATAAAGTAAACTTGGCAATAACCCACACTATGTAGAAGGGGGAAGGAGTACAAGATTCCGTCAGGCCTCACTACGTAGCAATATTGGCAGAAATGAAAATGGAATGATTGGGATCCTTTACATCAAGATTAAACACAATGAAGCTCAGGGAAACATCGATTCTAAATGTTAAAATCTCATTGACTTCCGAACTTCCCACCCTTTCCCAGAGTTCTAACGAAACTCTCCTGTTATTCCCCCAAAGCTTGTCATCCAGTGGGGGCGAAACGTAGTTCTGGCACATTTTTGCGGCTGGCTACACCAGCTTATCCTAAAGGCCAAAGGCACGATCAACCTTCCAAGTCATAGGATCAATACGCCTAGCGAACATTAGGTTCCCCGAAGCAAGCGCTGCGTGGCGCCTTCTCAAAGAAAGGTACCCTTACAGCACCCTTTCAGGCTGCAACATACCCTCTCCCGTGTGACAGCCCGTCCACAAACGTCCGACCGATACTGAAAATCCTATCGCTTCATTTGCGAAGTACAATGTGAAGCGAAGGGATATGAGGCTGCTGCGGTTCTGCATGGATATATGAGTACGTAAATGCATACATAAATGTAAATACATACATAGTCGTACATAAATGCAGCCTCTAGCGTAGCGAGCGGTTTCGGCCGCGGCAACGGGGAACTCGTTTGAAGTTGCTCTCTGAGTCATGTAGGGCAAGGCTTTTTTTGCTGGTTTTTGATCTTTTCACATCGCTTTTTCGCCATTGGCAATTCTATAAAGCAAAGTTGGTACCATTTCAGACCGAGTACCGAATTATCGTGCCTTATGCCTTTGAGGTCATTAAATTTTATGGATTTCAAAAGTACGCATACATATACTTCAGCTATAAGCTTCTATTTCAGTACCAGTGGGTGGAAGTCGTGAGTGACAAGTGGCGCGCCTACCACTAACGCTGTCCCGGGTTCAGATCTCGTGTCGACTCCCGCCCAGGATGAAATTAAGCCTTTAACCCTCCGGGACGGCAAATTGGTACCAGATTTGTTTGGGAGGGCAAGAACACTGACTCGTACATCAGCTAACCTCCGCAACTCATTGTATAGGCCACACGCGTTCGATAAGTGGCCACGTTCTGAATGGAAGTTCGTTCTGCGTGCGGCGAAGATTTTATCCTTATCCTTTTTTATTTTAGTACCCGTTTGGAATTATCGAACTGGGCGCTCTTACCAGTATCGACGGCGTGAAGCTGGGTCAAGTTGCTGGTTTAACGTTCTTGGACGGAAACCTCGTGATATTCCATCGTGCCGGAAGAGTTTGGGATCAAAAGTATAGTGTGATAGAAAAGGACTTTTCTTCTTTGCATTTTCATAGCCATTCCAGTGGTGTTTCAGTACTTTCGACCAGTACAATGTCATCATGGATAAGACACCTATACGAGATGATGTGATTCTGATTGTTTCTTTCAACGGGAATCAAACCCGCATAGTGAAGAAACTTGGAAAGAATAGGTAGGTCATGCATTGCTTTATAACTTTCTAAGAGATTTTATCGAGTTAGCATATAAGAAGCTCGTTTTTAGATTCTATCTCCCTCATGGTATTCATGTGGGCAAGGATGGCTTCATTTATACGACGGATGTTGGCTCCCATACGGTGGCGAAATGGAAAATCGCTGGGAATGGTGGGATGTTTCACATAAACTACTCAGCGTAGCACCTTATGCCTGGAATCTATTTATTATTTAATTGATAGACACCCAAGGATTGCGCCACTTAGATTGTGGAAAAAAGACAGAAATACTCAGTTAGGGGATGACACTATAAACAAAAAAAAACAAACACGAACAACTTATAAAACTGAAGCTAAAAATTCTTCGGGAGAGCAAGTAGGCTGTGTTTTGAATTAGAATTTGAACTGAAGAGATCACCGGGACCTTCCCTGTGTTGATAGTAAGGCTGTTTTCCCCTTTAGGAAGATGAAAGGAGTCCCCCGCGAGATCCTGGTCCTTGGTTCTGAACGCAAGGATTCGACGACAGTACTGGGGCTTGCTGACAACTTAACCCGTTACGAACGAATTCGTCCGGGACCCCAGGCGAGCAAACCAAGGGGGACCTCAAGCGAGGGGTTCATAGTCCCTCAGGCTCATCAAACAACTGGTAACACAACTCAGGTCCGCGGCCGTCGACCAAAACACACCTCAAATTATACAGCCTACAGGTTTACATTCAGAAATATACTGGAATACTGCGGGATTAATTTTGGCAAGGAATTTCGTGTTTTTGTTCGGAATTTGTGTACACCTGCGGCCACTTACGCTTGTAATTTTAGATTACGCGCTATATCAGGAAGTAAACGGTAATGTTATCCCAAGAATGCTGAATCACGGGCAAAAGTCTCCACCCCAGGCAGGTCATGAACCCACAGCCCACGCTTACCGGGGAATGCACCATCCATTACATCAGTAGGGTCACGGTTACCATCTCGAATACCTTAGATTATCTCCTGTCTCGCCTTAGATGTTGTTTGCCAGATGCTGTCATCGGTATCATAAGTCGACAGGGGGTCGCATTTGGTCTTGAAACAAATTCTTCTCAGCCGCAGGAGGATTGTACGGTTATCGACTTTCGCGTGTGTTCTGCGCTCCCCCACCTTCCCCCACTCCCTCCCCCGCCCCTGAGCTGGTGGTGCCGTTAGAGTCCTATGAGTAGTCCAAAAGAACCCTTACATTCGATAGTTGGGATTAGTAGTCATTGTAGTTGTTTGGTAGTGACCTCTCCCTGCGTGACGTCTTTTTTTCTGGGAAGCGGGGAGAGGAACTGAAGAACTTCCGGAAAAAAAACTGGTAGGAATTTGGAAAACCTAAACAGTTGGCAGAGAGCAACAGCGAATATGGAAAGGAGAAGGTCGTACCGAAGGACGAAAATCGGGAAAGTCGTTTGACGCCACCATTCCTCCCAGTCTCCTCCGTAATGCCTTGTTGGTTCGACTGGATTTGGTGCATAAGCTCCACTTGCAACGCCGCGACAAACGAGGCGAAAGAGTGCGATAAACGGCGAAAGATTCTCTAGACTGTTCCCTCTAGACCATCTATTTCATTCTATCAACGCGAAGTTTACCCGATTGGCTCCTTGAGACCCGCTCCGCATAGGTCATTTGGGCGGAGACAGTTGCCCACCTCATTGACGCTCCTGTGTAAGAGGGGATACACTAGGTAGGAAGCCACGATGGCTCATTGTCCGCGCCCTTCCGGTAGTCACGGAATGTGCCTTTAGCAAACAATCGCCTACCTTTACTCATCAGTTGAAAAGCTGAGTTTCATCGATTTCACTTGAAATAATGTCGGATTTGACTGTTGCACCTTTTCAGACCTTGAGCTGATGTGGGAAAGTGGAAAGAAACTTACCCCAGACAGTGACGAAACTCACTTTTGCAAACCAGCTGGTGTTGTTCAAACCGACGAAGGTGTCTTTGTAGCGGATGGATACTGTAACAACCGTATTGTGCAATTGGACAGCGAAACTGGTAACAGAAAGGTAATCCGTTCTGATGAAAATGTATTCATCAAGAAGATTACAGAACCAAAACCGGATATTCAAAAATAACAAAACTTCCAGGGCCAATTTGGACTGCCAGGCAATGGCCCTGCACAGTTCAATTTACCACACGACGTTGTGAGCACACCAACTGGTGGTCATCTTTTAGTAGCAGATCGAGAAAATGGTCGAGTACAGGAGCTGTCAACCCATGGCGATTTTATCATCGAATGGGCTTCAAGGTTAGCCTGTTCCTGTTTCTTTCCATCCATTTTCAATTCTTTACGTTTTTTTTGTCTCGGTATTTTATTCATTACATTCGTTTTTATGTGCATAGGTATACACTCAGTTACTCAATGTTATTTAGCCTCTTCTCAAATATTTACTCAGTCGATGCTCAGGATGAGTACATCTATTTGTTGCCAGGACGTACGAGTCGTGAAAATGTATGTGTTACACTTAGTACTCAACTTTCTTCTCGTACCTAAAGACACACCTCGCGATTGTATGAGTCGTGTAATCCCTTCCTTGGGCAAGGAGTAGGGCTTGCAGTCTTGAGGCTCTTACCCTTTCTGCAGTCCAACAGAAAGAAGCAGCAGTAGTAGTAGGAAGTTCAGAACATGTCTTGAAATGCGGTTAGCACAATGGCTGCCAACGTTGTTGCTGGAAGAGCTGAACAGGGTGTGGCCAGACGTCCTTTCGTACCCTTTCCATCAACGAACTTGCCAGCAACCACCTGCTCCAGTCATCGGACCTCCTGCCTCTGCTTTTTTTCCTTAGTGTTCAGAGAAATAGTAAATGCAGGAGGTTTTACCTTGAGGAAGCTGCTCGTCACAGGACTCTCCCGGAGTGCTAGAGAAGCCACCTCTTTCGGCTTTTTCTGGGAAGAGGGAGGTGGGAATAGAAGGGCAGCGCCAATGACGTGTTAACACGTTGGCGACATTGCGTCCCACTGCTGGGACGCACCTTTTTTGCCGCGTGGGACATTGCGTCCCACTGCTGGGATGCGGCATGGGTAAAAAACCAATTTAAAAACGTTTCAAATTTTCAACAGCTACATATTGTACAGGAAGGCATTGTAGAATATACAGTAGCTGCAAAACAAGCAGTTGTGTCATTGGGAGTATTTTACGGAGGATACAAAGGAAAGTGATTTCCTTAGGAAAAAAGGTAATTTTTGGATAAATAGAACTGAAGCTCCACATGTGTAGATAGCTAACGTGATAAGGTAACCTCAGAATAGCAGATCT